CATAGCGGATTATATTAGTAGGATATACGGAGACAGCGCAGTACTTCCCACTTACAACTAACTGTCGCTCTTGTGTGGTAGCGGACACTGTCGCTTATAAGGTGGAACGTCGGTGAGTTGGCTTTCGCGATACTGGGGTCTTCTCGAGGGGTTCCTGACACGACGTCGGTACCGCTAGAGTTGACGAGGCTTGGTGGTGGAGGTAGAGCGCAATCTAATCCTTGAAACACATTCAGGCCTCTGATGACGACGATTCAGTCGAAACGTTAGGCCATATTGAATAAATAGTTCCACCTATCAACCTCGTAAGGCACAATGCAAGTCGAGAAGACCGTAAATTTTCGCGTCATCGCGCGACGTATCGTGCGGCAATGCGAGGCTAATTTCCGGCTGCATCGTTTTACCGATTCGACTAGAGCAGCGAGACTCATGGTAATTCAAGCAGAGGCAGGACTTCATAACAGGCAATGTCGACCTCTCTTCGGTCTTCTCTTCAACACATAAATTCAGACAGCTAGGTGGATAACAGGTCCGCCGGACGCGGCGTCGACCACCACGCCCACCAGCGCGGCATGTTACAACTCTCTTGTCATATACCGAGGCACCATAGCCAACTGGTGTGGATGGTGGTTACGTATTTTTATTTGTTTTAGCTATGCTTGCATGCCCTTCTAACAGTCTAACACAAGTCCGACCTCGCAACTATTCAGTTTTTCTTCTTTAGCAATCAAAACCCAGCTCCCTATTAAGCCTCACTCGCGTCATATTGGCTTTAATTGGTGAATGAGTATTCTGCTAGGATTTGTTTCACTCATTTCTAGGCCACACTATTACAGTGTAGAACGATTAAATAAATAAATAAATAAATAAATAAATAAACAAATAAATAAACACAAGTGTGGCACCCAATATTCGACTCGACTGTGGAGAAGGAGACGGACAAAACAAACGCAAATTGTCGCATCATTGCGCGCGGAGTATCGTGCGGCCATACGCGGCAGGTTCTCGGTCATCAGTTTGTCGACTGAAGCAAGGAAATTCTTATGAGTTCAAACAGAGAACATTCCATGAAGGGCGCAGTCGTAGTTCCTCGTCCTCTGACGCTCAAACGGTCAGGCGGACAACTCGTCTGTCAGGCGCAACGTCGCTCGCCACTCCCATCAGCGCGGCATGTTACGATTGCCTTGTCACATATCCCTCTCGACGTACACTGTGCTTTTAAGTTTGCAAAGACATCAATCCCCTGACGTTCTGTACGAGCATGAGCAAGACTTCCAGGCTCGTGCACGCTTGGTGCCCGTTTCATGTCCCTCCGCCCACCCTTTTCCTCACCTGCCCTCTATTTCTTGAACATCTCTGCATCTATCCGTCTAATTTACGTTATAGTAATCCCCTTCATTTTACTACTAGAGCTTCCCTGCATCGCTACATTTCTCCACTTTGGAATGTGACCCTTTCGAAACAACAAAGCATTCAAACAGCCACGTTCCCTTGGTTAATCCCCGACACTCCAATAATAAGGAAAAAGAGGCGTGCTGTTCCTCAGCTAAGCGGACACTCATGACATGATAAATGTCACTTTCACAAAAAGAGGAAAGTGTCGGTCTCCACGACAAAAAGAACAACAATTAGAACTGGAAGGCAGCTCAGTGCAAACATCGAACAAAGCCCGATGCTGACGACACTTGAACGAGCTAATTTTCCCTTCTTCCATGAGCTCCCTCCACACGTTCTTTCTTTTGTTGATTTCTCATGGTCTCACAGAAACCCTTTATGGAGAAACTTTTACGGCATGCTCTGTTTCTGTGACAAGACAATCCCGCGCTAGTGGGCGTGGCGAGCGATGCCGCACCCGAGATGAGTTGTCCTGCACGGCCGTTTGAATAGGCACCCGGGCGATTCTATCGTCGGCAAGTCAGGCGACGCCGCACACGCCGCGACGCGGCAATCCCGAAGTTGCATTACCGTACTCCCGAGTTGTCATTGGAGCAACGGCCACAGCAAGCTGTGCCTCTTTCAAATTGTTAAAGGGATCGTCGACCCTTTAACAATTTGAACGCCACGCAACAAAACTCGTACGCGGCGGCCGCCACGCCGCCTCGCTCCGCCCACCGGCGCGACGACCCGACGATAGAATCACCACACACCCGTTTGAATATGAGCGTCAGATGTTTTGAAAATTCGATGTTGCCCGTCATGGACTTTTGTATCTGCTTGAATTCATACTTGCGCTGCTCCAATCAACAAACTCTGACGCATCAAAAATCTGCCGCGCATGGCCGCACGGCATGTCGCGCGCGACAACGCGACAAACCACGATTGTCTTGTCCTTCACCTCCTAACCTGATGGTGAACGCGCCAGCATCTGTGAACAGCTTGTGGTTCAGTCGGAGACGGATGGGAGGTGCATAAGTTTTCTTGCGTTTTCCGCGCTCCTATATACACGATTTCTATCTATAGTCGTTTTCGCTGCAGACGCTGGGGTGTTCCAGGGAAGATGGGCTTGGCGCGACGACCCGTGTTCACCAATTGTTGGCGTTTGCCCGCTTCAACAAATGGTGGAGAACGAGCTGGCGCCACACCAAACCTAGCCCTGTGGCACGCCCCAGCGTCTGCAGCGGAAAGACTGTACGTGTCCGCCTGAACTAGCGACCACCAATAGCAGCGACACTTGCAACCAAACCTACATATACTGTCGGCTCCAGATATGGATCCCAATTGTTTTCTTTTTTCAGCTCGTAGTATTAAAAATAAAAGAGAGCTGCCATTGGCGGTGAGGATGTAGTGAAGGGCTCCTCGCATTGTGACGTGAACAAACTAGCAGTATTCCTAGCTGATTTATTCGACCTAATGCAGGGCTTTCACGTCAAATCAATTGCATAAAACGAACGTCGCGCTTATGACATCATTTGCAACGCTCCTATCCCCATATCTTCACAATATGCATCTCTAACACTACGCCAACGATGAGCAAAAAGGTCTTACTCCCGATTATGCCCACATCTATCCTTCATTTATCTTAGTACTAGGTGGTTAGCAGATGAAACGATTAAAGACACACCTCGGGCACAAAGATAGGGAATTGTGCAGCTCAAATACCAATGACAAGCACAGTGATTCAGTAATGAAGAAAAACCCGCCGTAAATTTCCTATATGGCACCCCACGCCAAACCGCGCCTGCATGTGAACGAGACGAAGAGCGGGCGTGGTCGGACGAGTTCTCACTTGTCCGCGCTAGCTCTTCTTTCCTATCACCTCATCCATTGGAAGTTGAGAGAATTAGTAGTGGGTCAGCCACCACGACAAAAACTTTGGAACTGAATCCTAGGGTCGCTGCAGTCAGTGAGCGGGGTTCCTTCGCGAGTGGGCTTTCCTCACGCAGTTTTGGGCCGCGAACTTAGTACATCCGTTATACTTGCAGGAATGGCTACTATGTCCAAAGAAGGCGCCTGAACATCAAATGAATGCGGGACGACCCTTTGAAGAAATCGTTGGAAATTTCACCCTGGGTTTTTTCCAGAACATCAAAACCACAAACACAAAACGACTTAAGAAGTGTCTTAAACAAACCTTATTCGACTGAGAATACTTCAAAAAACGGAACTCGTGAGTATGATTGTTCATCATCCTGAAGTGTTCCGCAGCCTAAAGAGGGAACTGTTATAGAGAGGTTACTGATCAGTTGATGATTCCCGGAGAAGAAAATCTAAAGACTACAGTGGTAAACTTGTCTGTTTAATAAGTTTCGGTTTAAATCAAGGTAATACTAGCGCCCCATACCACTACCTGACATCCTACGTGACCAATATTGTGCCGCGCAACTAAGCGTCACCAACTTCAGGGGTTTCAAAGATCGCGAGTTACCCGTTATCCAGCCCTCTTTCTGAGGGCGGAGGGACTCGAAATCTGTATGTTTTACTGTCGCGAGCCAAGCAGATATGCTCAAGACAGGTCTGGGGAAAATTTTCTTACAATAACAACGGGCGCAGGCCGCAAGGCGCGCCCACTGCGACAATACCTTCTTCCATATACGACTAGGGCAACCATACAGCGGTTTGGGTATTTCGGTCGAGTATATCATTCGAGACCCCGGTCAATAAGGTGCTTGATAACCGAAACTCCGACCCGCTTGCCCACTGCGTGATACGAGGCAGATGGCTTTGTCGAGTGAGGGGATGCTAGTTTATCGTGAGAGACGGCCGCAAGGAAGCAAGCTTATCCATTTCCTAGCTACCTACACTTATTAGGTTTTAGCCGGCTGAAGCTTCGTTAAAATGCCTTGAGAAGAACCTCGGAATGTTCTCGAGAGATTTTTCCTATCTTTCACTTAATTGGCAGCTGTGCGAGTGAGGGGGGCTTAGGGTGTGTAAGTGGCACAAAATGTGAAAAAGAAAAAAAAGCGACAAAAGTCAACATCTCGGATCGAATATGTCTCCCGATGTCGTTGATTTAAGGCAATCACGACCCTGCATCCATAAACAGATTCAATACGACGCCCTCTTCCTGGCGGCCCCCTGGCAGCGCAACCGAATACCACCCCCACCCTGCCTGCTGGGAATCCTCAACGATGGTGTGAACTGTTCTCTTTCCCCTCCCCCATGCTACCATATAGAATAGGAAAACAGGAAAAATCGAGAAAAGTCAGCAACCTAACAACCGAAAACATGCTTCTCAGAGGCAAATACGGATTCGTCGTTGTGAGTCTTCAACTTACGGCGTGGACAGTTATGCCTCCGGGAAGGATACATCCCTAAGTAAGTCGTTCAAAATCCCTTCAAAACTAATCGAGGCAAAAAAAAACGTGCGATGAGCCCATGGACCTGCTTGTAGACCACTGAACATTTGTCCGCTTTTTTTCCCTTTAGTACAACCACTTTGTTCGTTAATTAGTTCTCAATTATTACAGCACCTGGGCTTTAGCAGGCTCTCCCAGTGCGCTGACTCAAATGTAAGATCGATATCGAAATCAAAAAAGAGCAAACATTAAATGAAATGCTCCTTTGCTCCTATCTGCAAACAACGCACCTGTAACATAACCGTTATTGGATTCCTGCCGCAAATCGTATTTTGAGTTCGCTTCAAGTAGTCGTTGAATATTTGTGGATTCAACGTTTCTATGGCATCCATGCCCTAAAACGTTTCAGAAAAAATGATTCTGTATAATAAAACAATACCTATAATACCAAACAATACCAGGTATATGAACTTACATCTCTATCAAGTTGAGTAATCTGTTCATATATGGCAAGTCCACTGTTCGGATTATGAGGTGCAAAATGAAAACGATTTCCTTTGAAAACATTTCGTATACGCCAATTCCATGAGGAAGTAATGTTTCTCAAAAACCAACCCCAATGACAGAAGTCGGATGATATCACAAAAAGGTTACGTGGATTCTCCAAATAGTTGGCAAATATCTTTCCATACGCCTGCTGTTTGGGCGGCGTTAACGAGCCAACTAGAACCGGTATCACGGTCACATTAGGGTTTCTGAAACAAATGTTTCTGGGATATTGTTATTCAAAATTGCCTACATGCAAATCAGACGATTCACAAATACATCCCACTCCTCTGTTATTTGTGTAACCATCAATGGG